TCGATTATATTATTAAAATCGTTTATATTAACGATAAATTATACGAATAACGCTTAAAAAAAAGGTTAAAATATTTAACTAATAAAATAAAATAATAAAATAAACCAAAAAAAGCCAAATAATAATAATTTATAACGCATGGTACACACCTAAAATTAATAAATATATTTGTAAAAGCCACACACCCTAGTAACTAACCAAATAAAAACGAGTTAAATAATAAAACGCCAAAAACGGGAATTATTTTAAATATAAAAAATAGGAATATATTAAAAAGGATTATCCCTAATAAAATTAACAAATCGCTATTATTAAATAATTAGAATAAAAAAACCCTTATATTTTAAGGCTTTGTTTAATTAAGTATATTATTATAACGAAAAATGTATCACGTATAAATTTAATAAAAAAAAGTTTAAATAAAACCCTTATAAATTTAAACATTAAATAACAATTACGCACCAAATTAAATAGCCAATATTTAATAATATTGAAAAATTGCCTAATAACGAGCCAATTAAATTAAAATTAAAAAAAACATAAGCCAACCATATTGGTTAAACGGGAGCACCCATAACGTTCAAACCCGAGGAACGGGCCAAATAAAAAATACATAACCAAAAGGCGCTTCGGAAAACGTTATTTAAAAAGCGAGAAATAATTAAAAAAACCCTAACGGGGTTAATATTATTTAACACCTGAATAATTTAAAAAAGAATATCAAACATTTTAATTAAGGGTAAAGAAAAAGATTTTAATACTAACGCCAAAATTAACCGAAAACCGTTAAAATAAACATATTTAACCTAAAATTTTAAAAAAAGCATAAATTTTGAAACGTTTTAAAAAACCGTAAAAATAAAACCTAATAAACCAAAAAAGCGGCGCATAATAATAGCATATTTGTTAAAAATAAACACTATAAACCAAAAAAAGGTGTTAAATTTAAAAATATACACTTATACCCATAAAATTATACCATACTTATCTTTCGAAACCTGGCTTAATAATTTAAAGGATTAAAGAACCGCAAATTATACTGAAAGGTACCAGCCATGAAAAACAATAAACGGCGCCTAAATTAGGGCCAAAATAACCAAACGGTGATATACACCGAAATAAAGGTTATTATAACCCCTTATTTATATACGGATTTGTTTTAAAAGGTTAAAACCTTTAATAAAAACCACCTAAATATTAATTTAAAAAATAACGAATACGAGGAATTGTTTTAAACGAAATGCTTAAACGATAAATGCTTGGCACATTTGCCCTAAAAGTTTAAAAACGATTAATTTTCGCAAAAGGATAAAATTAAGCCCCAAAATTAACCAAAATTAAAATAATAATTGCCAAAATGGCAAATTGTGTTACAAAATATCGATAAAAGGAAAGCAATATTTATATCAGTATCCAAATACCCCATAACGTGCGTGACAGGCTTAATAAAACATTACGTTTATAAAAAATTAAGTATAAAATATATATTAAAAAAAAGCCTGGGCGTAATAAGCAGGATACCTTTATCCAAATTATTACCATTTTAATTTAAAAAATTAGGAAATCCAACTGGAAAAAGGGCCCGGTACGGATAAAAGCAATAATTAATAAGAACCTTAGCGGTAATAATTATTGCAAATCCTTTCCAAATCACCAAAATAATTAAATGGAAAGGAAAACGGTTAGCGGTAATAATTAATTATAAAATAATAAAAAATTATATTATATTAAAAACGGTAATAAAGTTTGGCATATTAACACGTTAAAAATAAAAGTTTTATAATTTAAAAATTATAAAAAGGAAACCGGTTATTTATAATAAAAGGCGAATTAATACCAAAATTAATTATTTTAAATTTTAATTCTAAAGGCAAACCTGCTCGGTTACCCTAAATGTTATAAAAACGGGGGAAAAAATATTATCCTAAAAATCCCCTAGCTTAAATAAAAAAATCCCTTAATAAATTGGGTTACGGAAAAACTCTAATAAAAATAACCACTAATAAATAAAAACGTTTAATAGCTAAAAGCCTCGAGCGGTGCGCAAAATACGCCAAAAAAAATAGCCATAACGATAGTAAAATATAGCAATTAATCCTGGCAAATCATATCGGTTAATTATAAAATTTACGATAATAATTTAAACCTATTAAAATATATATCAATATAAATAAATAAGGTCCCACCGAAATATATAAAGTATTGGAAACTATTTAAGCTATATTTGGAAATAAAATTATTAAAATATAAACCGTTTAATTATAAAATTAAATTTAAACCTAAAATTTAATTTAATTATTAAAAATTTTACCGGTTAAACCCCAAATAACAGGAATTATTACGCGAATAATTTACGAAAAATTTATAAATAGGCTTTATTAAACCCTTAAATTTTCCAATAAAATATAAAATATTATTCGTGCCCAAAAAAAAACGAAAAAAAACAGATATATATTAATTACCGTTCGTTAAATGAAATAATTATAAAAAATCGATATTTTTTATCCCTTATCGACGAGTTATAAAATAAATTTAATAAAGCCAAATGGTTCACAGCTTTAAATTTACGCGAAGCATACGGCCTATTAAAAATTAAAAAAGGAGATAAATAAAAATAACCTTTTAAATTTATTTAAGCATTTATAAATCGTTAATTATAATTTTTAAGCTTACCAACGCGCCAGTAACTTTCCAAAAAATAATTAACCATATATTATAAAAATGCTTGAATTTTTATGCATTTACCTACCTAAATAATATTTTGGTATTTTTCAAAATATTAAAAAAATATAAGCAATATATACGCATAATGTTATAAAAGTTATAAAACGCTAAATTTTTATTTCATCCAGAAAAATATATTTGGCATATATAGGAAATAACCTTTTTAAAGTGTATTATTATACTAGGATAAATAAAAATAAAGCTTAAAAAAGTGTAAACGATAAAAAAATGGCCCAAACCGAATAATATTAAAAAAATATAAAGCTTTTTAGGGGTTTTAAATTTTTATAAACGTTTTATTAGGGGATTTAGCGCAAAAGCCCTTCCATTTACGAATTTTACCAAAAATAACACCAAATTCCATTAGGATAATTAAAAATAAAAGGCTTTCGAAAAGTTAAAAAATGCTATTAAATAAAAACCAATATTAATAACACCAAACCCGGAAAAACCTTTTAAAATCGAGATTAACGCGTTAAATTACGCAATTAAAGGATAATTTAAATAACGAAATAAGGAAAAAAAGCTGCACTTTTACGCCTTTTTTTTATAAAAATTAAATGGACCGGAATTAAATTATCCGATTTATAATAAAAATTTTTTTGGCTATTATCCGAGCATTAAAAAAATGGAAAATATACTTTTACCAAACAAAGCATTAGGTTATAATTTATATAAATTATAAAAACCTCACGCATTTTACCATTAATTAAATTTTAAATAAGCGGCAAATTTAATAAAGCCAATTCCTTTAAAATTATAATATCCGAATTAAATACCGAAAAGGGTTAAAAAACGGCTAAATAAACGCCCTTAGCCGAAAACCGGACTTTAAAATCGAAATACCGCCAAAAACACACATAATTTTTGCGCAAAAACCAAAAGAAACTTTAATACCAATATAGCAGGTATTAGCCAAAATTATCCCTTAAAAAATAATAAATTGCCGGAAAAATCCAAAAAAATCCATGGCTAATTGGCCTATAAACACCAAAAAATTATTAAAACCTAAAAAAGGTTATAGCAATACCATAAATTTACCGGAACCCGAGCCATAATTCACGAAATAATTAAAAATTGCGAAATTTATGCCAAAAATAAAACCGGCAAATATAAACCTTATAAATTATTTTAACCTTTACCAGCACCTAATAAAACATAACAAAACGTTACGGTAAATTTTATAATTAAACTTTTTAAATCCAAAAACCTTTAATAAACGTTTAATATAATAACGTTTTAATAATAATAAATAAATTTATAAAATACGCCTTATTCCTATTTTATAAAAAAAGCAGTAATGCCATAAAATTAACATACGTTTTTATTAAAAACGTGATTATAAAATACGAAACACCCGATAAATTAATTACGGATCGAAATAAATTATTTATAAATAAATTTTAAAAAGCCTTAATAACCAAATTTAAAATAAAACATGCATTATTAATAATTTATTATTTAATATTAAATGGATAAATAAAACGAATAAATTAAACTATAAAATAATATTTATATTATTACGTTAATTATAAATAAAATAATTGGGTATAATTATTTCCCACGGCGCAATTTGTTTATAACAATTCGGTATACGAAAAAATAAAAATTACACCATTTTTCGCAAATTATAAATTTATATTTACGGTATACAAAAAACTTAAAATAAAAAAAAACGCTTTAAAAATAAAAATCCAGGTTATAAAAATAATTAAATTTTATAAACATTTGTAATAAAAGCTTAAAAAATTACAAAAACGTATATCCATTTAAATAAATAAAAAAAAGCTCGAAAAACCAACTTTTAAAAGAAAGGATAACGTTTATCTTTTATAACGTAACGTAAAAATAAAACGGTTAAATAATAAATTAAATTATAAAAAATTCGAACCTTTTAAAGTTAAAAAAATAATTTTTTCGGTTAATTACGAATTTTAATTATCGCTAATTATAAAAATTTATCCCGTTTTTTACATTTCTTTACTGAAATTAGCACCATTTAAATCGAAAAGCACAAAATTAATAAAAATCGACCCAAACCAGGAATAAAAAGTTAAGGTTATTTTTAATAATAAAGTACGTTATCGTAAATAATAGTACTTGGTTAAATGGGTAAAATAGGGAAATAAATATAATAAATAATTAAAAAAAACAAACTTTAAAAATTACCAAAAGGTTTTATAAAAGTATCGGTAAAAGCGATTATAAAAAAGTTAATAAAAAAAAAAGCTAAAATAAAAAGGCCACGCCGGCGAAATGTAAACTTTTTTATTCCAAAAATATTTTTGGAATCGAACCAAAAACCTCTCGCCCCAAGAATAAACGCGTTACCATTGCGCCAAACGATTTATAAATATCATTAAAAGCCTCGCACCGTACCTGGTTAAATAAGGAAAAGCAAATTAAGGTTTAAATTAATCTTTAACCCGCCCTAATTAGGGGATAAAAGGGGGAAGTTGGAAATGTTGAACGAGGGAAAAGCAGGGGCCGGCACGGCCGCCTGGGCGGCCTTTTCGCGCTCAGCTCGTTTTAATTTCTCCACGCTATTAAAACCATATAAAAAAACGCGCGTTTGCTTATTAAGCCACAGTTTTTTTTATTTGCGCAAACGTTTGGTGCAAGCGTTTGCGGTAAATAATTATTATTCGATAAAACGGCGGTGCTTTTTAATAATCTTTAATTTAACGTTCAACCTAAAGTAATGGGCGTTAATATTTTAAATTTCGGAAAAAAAAAGGGCCCAAAATATCACACCAAAAGCGGTTAATACGCAGGCATTTTATATATCGAAACGAATTTTAAAAAAAGGCGTTGCACTGCACCTTTTTAAAAATTTTACGGTAATACGAGCAAAAAGGTATAAAAATTGCAAATTAAAAAATTACCGCTAATAAATCCTTATATTGGAGGGTTTTTTTAGTAACGGGCCGTTTTTGCACTTTGGGAGCCATTGCGGAAAAATGAAATAATTTACAAAAGGAACGCAGCTTGGCCACAAGGGTTTGGCCCAAAAAAAGGGGATTTAATGTTACAACCAGCCACCGGGCTAAAAGGAGGGGTTAGAAGGGCAAAGGAGCTAAAGCTTTAACAGGCGATAGCGCCACCTTATACCCCGCTTTTTTGGAGGCTGAAAAACCACGTAATATTAAAGGATTTTTAAATTTATAATTAAAATATCACAAATTTATAAATCTAAAAAAAGGATTTTTAAATTTATAATTAAAATATTATAAATGTATAAATTTAAAAAAAAAATTTAAATTTATAATTAAGCGTTATAAAATTATAAATCCAGGTAAAACTGGTAACGGTAGGTTTTAATATAAAAAAAAGATTTTTACGGGTTAAAATAATTTTAATTAAGGCCCTGGTATTAATTAACCTAAGTTAGTTTTAAAATATTCCTTTGGGCAAGTAATACAAATTATTATTTTACCAGACCCCAAATCACGTGTAAGGCGACCTTGCACCCTAATTACTGTTTAATACCGCCCTTAAGTGCTCCACCCTTAAAAATAAAGGCCTTGTTGGAATGGCATTTTTATGCGCGCGCGCGCGCTGAAAAAGGGGGTTCCCCCGTGTGGCCCCGGGATCCTCCGGATCCCTGCACGGGCCAACCAGGCCGCCTAGGCTAAAGCGGAGGAACGCCCTTTAGGCGATCGCCTTCGCGCATATAAGGGCTAGTTTTAGGCTCTCCTTTAGGCAGATAAATCTTTTTTTTCACGTATAATATAACAAAACCATTCCCTTAATTATAAAAATCGTTATTCGTCACTTTTAAAAAATTTCGAGCCGTTTAACAGAAATATAAACTTTTATTAATATTAATTAGTGTTACTCGAAAGGCAATATAAACGGTTAGGTAAAAAATTTAACGCTAAACATTTAAATCGTTAAATTTTTGCAATTTAGGGAAAGGTTTGCGAAAAATTTAAAAGCAAAAAAATAACGTGTTTTTCGTTTAATAACGCATTTGTTAAAAACGCTTTTAATTTTCGGACCCCTTTTTATTGCGAGTAATAAAAGGTAAAGGCTGGTTATAAATATGCGAGTTTAATAAAGGGCGTTATGTGATTCCCAAAAGGACCGATTTGTACGTTATAAGCTATAAAGGCTTTTAAATTAAAAGATTACCACCTTTAAAACGAAATCGCTCGTTTATTTATTAAAAGGAAAATAATAATAATTTTAATAAAATTTTAACGATTAAATAAATAATATTAATAAAATATTTGAATTATAAAAAATAATAAACGAAAATAATTTAAATTAAAAAAAAACCTATTTTAAAAAGCTTATTATAAATATGTTTAAAAAATAAGGCATTTCGATATCGTTTTTAATTATTATTAATAAGGATTTTTTGTAATAAAAAAATTATACTTTTGGAAGCTTTTTTAAAAAGGTTTCCAACGATCGGATCCATGCCTGGATTTTTAAATTTATAATTAAAAATTAATAATATTATAATAATTATATATTATTAGCGTTTTTCGAAAATTTTAACGATATAACCTTAATATAATTAAACTAATTAAATATAAAAGTTTTACGAGTTTTAATTAAATTTTTAACAAATTACGGGCTTACGGTATTAAAAAAATCCAATTAAAAAAGCACACACCGATTAATCCTTTTATTGGGCGATATTAATAATATTTAAAACCTGGCGATCGGGGGAGCAGCAAAACCCCCAACGATAAATCGTTAAAATAAAGGCAAAACCTTTAAAACCTTAATTCCGCTTGCGAAATTATCCAATTAAAAATAGGCATATGGCGCACCAATTAGCAGGAAACGGTTAACCGGTAATTTTCAAATTAAACAGGCGCATAAACGGCAACGTATAGCTTATTATTACGGTAAACCCACGGTTTAATATAACGGAAAATAATTTTAACCTTGGCTATAATTATCGATTTTTAAACGGAACTTTTTAACGAAAAATAACCCGTTTTTAAATTTTTTTAATTAATATTATAAGGATTATTTTTCGTTACACCGGTTATGGTTTAAAAATAAACGTATTATTCCCCGATTTATTAAAATTCGCTTTTTTAATTTATCGTACCAAAAAAACCAATTTTTAATTATCCCAGGCTATTAGCCTGGCTTTTATTATTAAATTTTCCTGGATAAATAAAAATGGGCAAAAAATTAAATATTAATCCCATAAATAACATTTTTAACCCTTATTTTATTATAATACCAACCAACGCTATTAACGATTAATTAATACCGCATATTTCTTTTAATAAAAACGGCTAATGCATCGCTTAATCCGAATTTATTAAAAACATTTTATAATATATGGAACCACGCGTATAAATATTTAAAAAAGTAATATAACGTATTAAATAATAAAGTTTTAATTTTTACAAATATTTATAAAGCGTTTAGCATACCCCTTTTATAATTTTACGCGTTTTTCCCACTGGTTTTTATGGGCCGTGCCCAGAATTATTTTATTTAAATTATCGGTAAAAGCCACTTTTTTAGGAAAATTTACCTCCGGTTTTAATAATATTTTAATACAAAAGTTAATAAATAATAGTATTATACAAATTAAAATTTAATATCGTTTTAAATTATTAATTTAAAAAGCGCGAACGTAAATAAAAGTAAAATAAAAATGTTTCAGATCTTTATAAATAAATTTCGCGTTTATTAGCAAATTTTAAATTTTACCTATTAATAAAACCATTAATTAATTATAAATATTCTCCGTGTAATTCAAAAAATACCCAAATTAAAAATGGCCCTTTTATAGCTAAAAAAAACGTTTAAAGGATTAATTTTCCAATTTTGCAGCACTTTTTAAATAAAAAAAACGTTAATATGCATAGCACCTATTTTATTAAACGAAAGTTTAAAAATAACGCTAAAAATGATCGGCATAATGGTAAATAAAATAAAAGCGGCTTATTTAAATCACGCTTTTATAACTTTCGTAAGCGCGATTCCAAATGCTGGATTTGCGTAAAACCAGGCTGCCGTTCCATATAATATATTTTAAAAAAATAGCGCAATTTTAAGAAACGTTAAAAACGCGAACGTAAAAGCCGGAACAATTAAAAAAAGGGCTTTTCGTAATTTCTTTTCGAATACGAAAAGCATAACGAAAATAATAATAAAAAAAATATCCGTAAATAATTAACGAATTTAATTAACGATTAAATTTAATAATTAATTAATTAATAATAAAAAAAACATTATTAACCTATTTTTTAACCCCCGTAATTATAACATTTTTTATTAAAAAAATTTTCCGGCACCGTTTTCGTGCCAGTTCCACCCGCCGATTAAATAAGAATAAAATATAATTACCTAAAAGCTGGTATTGCACTAATACGTGCTTTTTAATAAAGATATATAATATAGCATTATTTCGGATACCAATATGGCCAAAATTTTAATCGCCGGTTTTATATAATTTTAAGCTTTATAATATTATTTGCCTAATTTTTATATAACTATAAGTAAAATTAAACGCCATGTTTAATTTAAATTAAAAAAAATATTATTTAATTTTGGGAAAATTATAATAAAAACCCCGGTTAAATCGATAACTTTTTATATAATCCCTACCAATATTCCGTTTTTATTTTACATTAATAATATGGATAAATTGGGAATTTATTTTAATAATATACATAATAAACTTGTAACAAAGCATAATAAACGCGTCCCGATTATGAAAAAATCAAGATATTTATGGCTTTTTTTTTAACGAAATTAGCCCATTTATAATAAACGTTTCGTTTTTAATAAATCTTAAAAGCTTAAAAACGCCATTTTTAATAAAAATAAAATTAAAACGGTTATATAAACGTTTTAAATACCCTTTTATTAATTAATTATAATACATATTAAATTAAGCAGGCCATTTTATAAATCGTAACGTTTTACAAATAATTAAACGGGTGTACCATTATTATTAAATAATAAATTTCGCGCCATAACGTTTTAAATTTATATTTAAAAATAATATTAATTTTAATTATAAAATAATCGTTAACGTTATACATTTAAACGGTAAATAAGCGCTTTATGCAATTAATATAAACATTATATTTAGCGTAATAACTTTTTTTAAAAAAGGATTAGTAAAAAAAACGTGGAAAACTTTTAAACGTTATTAGTTTAACATTTACCTAGGGCTTTTAAATATAATATTTTATAACGCCGGTATTAATTTTATAACGAGCAAATTTTAAACGGAAATAAAATTTTTTAAAATTATATACCATTAAATTTTTATAAAAACCTATTAATTAATCGAAAAGGTTAAACGATATTATAAACCTTTTCGTTAAGCTTATAAAATAATTAAAAAAAAAATGCCCCG